CCTGACACCTGAACCCTCCCTGCCCCTTGAACCTCTCTACCCCTGGATTCCTCCCAAACACCAACCCCCCACCAAACCCTGAACCCTGCCCTTAACCTGGAGCCCCAGGTGATAGTGCAGTACATAGTGGACCGCTGGGCAGCCGCCGGCCCCTCCCTGAAGGCGGCCACCCCCGAGCTGCGCGCCAAGGCCGCGCTCGCCACGCGCGTGCACGACCTGTACATAACCACCATCCAGGTGGGTCTCGTGCCCTGTTTAGAATTCCGGAACTTTTGTGCGCAAACGGAGCATACGGGATGAATGCTGGACACGTAGGCGGATACCTACCTTCATACCTGCACCGGGTTCATCAGTCCCCAGGAATGCATGAGGGGTGGTGGTTTTCGGGCCGGCAGCTTGCTGGACGGGCTGCCTGCTGGGGCGGCGGGGCGTTGCCTGCATGGGCATGGGGGCCTTGATTTGAGGGGGTGGGGAGGTTTCAATGCAGTGGGCGTGATCCTTGGAGGGGTGGAGGGCGGCCAGGATGAATTGCTGGGGCAGGAGTGTGCTGGCGTTTTTTGGGAGGGGGGGCGGGGTCCTGCTGGGGGTCGGCGCCAAGTCAAGCGCAGTGCTCCTGCAGCTGCCCGATCTGTAGGGGGTGAGCGAGGCTTTGCACGCAGACTCAACGCGTCGCAGTCACGTTTGGTTGATACACGAGTGTTAAAGTTTTTGAGGCTTTGTGAACCTGCAAGCAGATCCGTGCGGCGGACGGCCCGAAGGGTATCGCCGGCTCCCGCACGGCCTGGTTGGGTCGAATCGGGGCGCCGGCAGGCAAGCAACACCGGCTGAGCCTGGCACGCCGCCCCGATGACCCCGCGCGCCAACCTCGGACGCTCGCGCGACCCGCAGGCGTCCATGTACCGTGCGATGGACGTTTCCGAGAGGGCGCGCCAGATCAAGCAGATCGCGTTCCAGCTGGACGTCCTTGAATCGATCTGCGCGGGGCCTTACCTCGCGGGAGATCAGATCACGACGGCAGACAGCGCTGTGTTCCCCACTGTGGTGTTCATGGTGCAGGTGGGCGTGTGATCTGGTGTGATATGTTGATCTGAGGTGCAGAGCCTGTGTGAATTGGGGGCTGGCGTCGTGGCCTGAGGGGCGGCGTGTGCAACCTGACTTGCAGCTTGTGTGGGGGCCTGACTTAGGTGCAGCATACGAGGTTTGGTTTTTGCCATTGCACAATGCTGGGACGGGGCGTTGCTGACCAGACGAGCTGGCGTCCGGTTGGGGTCGTGCGTGCTCGCCACTGGAATAAGATCTGCGGCCGGATGGGTCGCCTGATTAGGGCAGGCCGGGGTGGGCATGGCACGGGTTCTTACTTGGACCCCATTTCCCCTCATAAGCCTCTGTTTCTCGGGTTGATACTGCCTGCTGCGCCCGCGCACACCTGCAGATGCTACCCGACGTGTTTGGCTGGGCGGACGTCTTTGCGGGCCGCCCTAAGCTCGCGGCCTGGTGGCGCGCGCTGCAGGACGACCCGGCCGCGGCGCGGGTGAGCTGCGGCGGCGCACGCCTCCAGGAACGCACACTTGTCTAGGCGGGGCGCGCCGGCCAGCCCTGAGGCATCGCCCCTGCCCCTGTGTCCCCCTCTGCAATGGCCGCTCGGCCTTCCACGGGAGCAGTTCAGGGGGCCCAGTTCTATGTTGTTGTCCTCAGACCCAGTTCAGAGCAACATGCATGTACGACCGCTGACGCACCCGTTACGCCTGGCACGGCGCGAGAGGCAGCGTGCTGTGACAAGACACCCCCATATGTTTGCTCGGCCACCCCGCCGCCTGCTCTTGATTGCCAATCCCCCTCCTGACGGCCAATCCTGAAATCCTCAACGATGCGCGTCAGGTCATTGGCGAGGTGCAGGGCGGCCTGAAGGGATGGGTGGACAGGGACAGGTGGGCCTGGCGGAGGGTTTGTGTGTGTGTGTGTGTGTGTGTGTGTGTGTGTGTTTATGCGTGTGTGTGTGTGTGTGTTTGTGGGTGTGAGCGCTCGCGCTTGCACACGTGCACGCCCACGCATGTGTGTGTGTGTGTGTGTGGTGCAAGCAAGTGTGTGCGCGTGCGCACGCGTGCACGCGCGCGTGTTTGTGATTTGTGCACCAAGTTGGGCGGGACAGGCAAGTGGCTGTCCAAACGGCTTCGGGGATTGCGCAGCAAGCTGGTGCCATCAAGGCGCCCGCAGGTACAAGATTCAAGATCAATCTTGTGGCAGCCGGTCTTGGAGTCCTTGATACATGTGTATGACTGCTCAGCATCCACTAGACATACCATCCTGATCCCTGTGACGCAGGTGGACCGAGCTGGGGATCCGCGAGCAGGTCAAGGACACCAGCTACCAGTGGGCTTACTGAGTGTGGTCACCTGTCAGACACATGATTGCGTGATGCATCGAACTGACAATCCCAATCCTGTCAACGCCTCTGCATGCGCGATGGCGCGTGCTGCAGTCAAGGCGCTGCTGCTGTTGTGTGATTGCGCGGTTGCAGCTGCCCTCGTTTTGCATGCTTGGTCCAAGAGCAGGTTGCAGCATTTTTTTGCAGCCGCATCCTGTCGCGTTCCTGCTTGACAGCTTGCACCTCAATCATCAACGCGCCCTGTCGGCTGAGGCTTGCCCTCAGCTGCGTCCAGGGCTGCGATTTTCTTTGCACACCTCTTCTTTGCGCCCCTTCAAATGCAGCCGCCGCCAACGGCGGTCGGCGTGCATTTTTGCTCGTCACGCAATGTAACGGGGCAGCCATTTGGTGAAAGCAAGCCTCGGCAGCTTTGTGTCAATGCCTGAGATCAGAGGGTCGAAAGGTACATCAAAGATTTACCAGAAGCGGTCGCCTGCATGCACTTTGCAGCAGCCAACCGACTCGCAAGCAGCGACCACGCAGTCCGACGGCACGCCCAACCTGCGCGCGTCCCGCCACGCCCGGGACACGCTTTCGCTGACGCCCGCGCCGTTACCCGCGCCGCAGCGCGACCAACGCCGCCAGCCGCGCCCGCGCCTTTGACGCGACCTCGATCCCATCCTCTAGCCTCAGTCCGGCGTCGGTTGCCTCCATGGCCCGCAGGCGCGCTTCTCGCAGCCTCGACGCCGCACCCCCACAACCATCGCTCCCTCCGTCGCCGCCGTCCCTGCCGCCGCCGCCGCCGCTGTTGACCGGGTCAAGGTGATCTAAGAGCTCCGCCAGCGCTGCCGCCGCAAACGGCGCCCACGACAGCCGCACGGCGCGCTCCCAGGCGGCCGCGCCGCTCGCCCCCTCGGCCCCCGCCTCCCCTTCCCCGCCGCCGCCGCTGCTGCCGCTGCTGCCACCTGCATCGGCCCAGTCGAGCAAGTTCTCCAGTTCCGCCTCCGCCTCGCGCGCGGCTGCCTCCAAACGCTCGTCCCCGCCGTCCGCCGCCGCTGCCGCGAGCGCCCCCGCGAGCTCCCTGCACCCGCCCAGCTGCCGCGCCGCCTCGGCCGCGCCGTCCACCACTTGCTCGACCGCCGTCCGGACGTCGCGCGGCGGCGGGCCCGCGCCGCCGCCGCCGCTGCCGCTGCTGCTGCTGTCAGATGCTGCCGACAGCGCCTCAGCCACGGCCGAGGCGCGCACCATGTACACCCAGCGATCAGGCAGCTCTGCCGCTTGCGCCAGCCCGCGATTCGAGTCCAGCGCCTGCACCGCCGCACGTCTCTCCGCCACGACCCGCGCGGAGCCGCCCAGCAGCCCAGCGACGCGCGCGGCGCAGCAGTAGGAGCCGCCGCCGCCGCCGCCGCGCCTGCCGCGGGGCGCGGCGAGGCGCGGCGCGGCGGCGTCCTCGCCGCCCGCTGGCGGCGCGTCCTCGGCGACTGCGAGGATGACGTGGCCGCCGCTCGCGAGCGCCGCGTCGATCTGCTGCTGACTCAGCGCGTGCAGCGACACCGCCCCAGGGCACGGCGGCCAGAAGCCGAGGCCGGGCCCCTGCTGCTGCCGCCGCTCCGGCGGTGCGGACGTGTCGGATCGGTCTGGGGGCGGCGGCAGGGGGCCCACAAAGATGAGGGGGGCTTCCAGGGTGGGGGTCAGGGGGCGCTCGCGGAAGCTTCCGTCGAGGGACCTGAGGGGGGCCTCCCTGGGGCATTGCATTTTTACAGGGTTAGGGGCGGGGGGGCGTGGCAAACAGCAGGTGCTGGGTGGGGTGTGGGCAGGGGCATGTGCGGCCGTTGCATTATGACAGCATAGGATTGTTGCAGCGCATCGTGATTGCCCGCTTTTGGAGCCATCCAGGCTCATGAGGTTGATCAGCCAACAAAAATCTGCGAAAGCACCTCAATGGCGATACGGCAGGCAGCTGCCGCCGCTGCAGTGGCATGGCAAGTGGTGCTTATGCCTACAGTCCTGCCCACCTCGAGATGAACTCGCGTATGCTCTCCGCCCGCCTCGGCGGACCGCTGGCGCTGCTCGTGCTGCCGCCGCCTGCGCCCACAGCGCCCACAGCGACGAGGCCGCGACGACGGAGGCGCCCATGCAGACAGCGGCTAAGTAGCTTCCGATTCTGTATATGCATGCTGCGTCAGAGAACCACCAGCGCCAACCAGGTTGATCTCAGTGTCACCCGAAGCTCACTCCGGACTCGTTCGAGGTAATAAGGCGATTTTGTCCCGATCAACAGAGTGCTGAGAATTCAGTATCATCGCCATGTTGATCTCGGTACCTATTGAAACGGCGGGGCTGAGCTGCTGCACCTGCAGCTGCCGCTGGGTTCCTTGTTGCCATCTGGATGGTGCCATGGCATCACTTGATGCTACTGATTGGCTGCCAGTCTTATCCACCCCATGCATAGCTGCATAAGCAAGCGTTGCGCGTTACGTCACTGCAGTGACAGATTGTTAATCGTGATTTGTTCAAAGTCCCGTGAAGAAATGCAATGGGAAGGAAACGGACTTGTTTGAAGGCCATTGATCACAATCCAAAAGAAGATAGTATCCGCTGCATTCAATTGTTGCCCCCCCCCCCCGAATGCGCCCAGTCCGACCCCACGCCTGCCTGAGGGCCCCCTCCCCTCCAACCGAGCCTACTGTACTGCCGATGCTACTGCTGCCCCGCGTCATTCGTCCACCCGCGGGCTGCCCACGCCAGCGGCGGCCCCTCCTGACCATCGGTCGCAGCCGCAGCCGCCCTGGCCGCAGCCAGCCGCTGGGCGGACGGCTTGGGAGGGGGCAGGCCGATCGGGACCGCCGCCTCAGGGGCGGCAGCGCACGCGCCGCCGCCGCCGCCGCCGCCGCCGCCACCGCCGCTGCCGCCGCCATGACTGCTGATCGGGGACGCCCGCTGCTTCGGATTCTGGCTGCCATCTGCCAGCCGTATCGGCAGCGGCAGCGACGGCGGCGACGGCAGCCGCGCAGGCGCATCGCCTTCTTCACTAGCCGGCGCGGCAGCCTGCTGCCCCGCTGCGGACACCGGCGGCTGCGGCTGCTGCTGCCCGTTCGGCAGCGGCCGTCGCAATTGGGCATGTGGCTGCTGTGCCAGCTGCGCCACGGGAGAGGGCTCGCGAACCGCCACAACCTCCTGCGGCGGCGCACCCGCCTCCTCGCCCTTCCCCTGCACCCCTCCCTCACCGCCGCCCTCGCCCCCGCCGCCGCAGCCGCCGGCGTCGCTGTCGTCGCTCGAGCTCAGCAGCTTCATCCGCCGCCGCGGCCCCGCCGCCCTCGTCGACGCCTCTGCAAACGTCACCCGCCGCGACGCCGGCCCAGCGGCAGCCTCTGGGTTCGGCAGGGCGCCGCGAGCCATACTAGTCTCTGTCGCGCGCCGCTTGCCTCGCGGCGGCGCCGCGCCGCTGCCGCGGCCGCGAACGCCGCGGCTCCTTGCGCCCTCCTCGCCGGAGGCGTCGTCACCGGAGTGCGACTCGTCAGAGGATGACGGCGATGACGTCACCTCGGTGCCGATGTGGCCGCCTGCGTGGCCGGCCTCCTCGTCAGAGTCCATCGCGTCTGAGTCTGAGTCCAGCAGGGCGGCCATGTTTCTGCAGTGGTGTGGTGATGATCAATCCATGATTATGCATCACATGGTCGAAGTCACTGCAATTGCCGCTTTCCTTAGTTATGGCCGCCCAATGGAACGGTCCTAGAGGGAGGGTATGGGCGTTTTGCAACTTGCATGCGGATGCAGGTGCGTGGGTGACACGTGTCGTGTGCTGCGCCACAAAGAATGCCCTGTCCAGGAAATGCTGTAGCTGTTTTCTGACCGTGACACGTGCATTTACAGAGGAAAACATCCAGCCAGAGGTCTTTAATCAGCATTGAACTGCACCCCTCCAACACCCTCTCCAACGCCCTACCCCCCCTCCCCAAACCCCACCCCCAGCACACCTGTTG